ATACACACCGGGATGAGAAGGCAGCAGACAACTAACAGACGTCAAAGACGACGGTAGACAGACAACACGTACATCGAGACATGACAGAGACTTTGTTTATAATTTTATTGGAGTTACGAGAAACAAATAGGCGTATTAACAACTAGCTATTACAGCACGGAAGTGGATAGGCAGAGAGACAGAAACAACAGAGGGAAAGAAAGGAACTTCCACAGGCGTTCTCCAACCATCTACCCGATAGAGACGGGTTAAGATGAATTTAAACAACAGCTTATAATACCGACACAACAACGGTTGCACAGACAAAAAAATTGGGTAAGACCGACAGACAGAAACAAGAAATCATGAGCAATGAAATAGGAGACAAAACAAACGGTTAGATTAACGAAAGTTGTATAAACGGCTGAGCGCCCAAAGAAACACCACGCAAGTCGGCAGTGTTGGTTCCAAACTACGAGCTGAAAAGAAAAAAAACGTATTTTCTGGTGGAAACTATAGTTTCTTAACAAAATAACTCTTTATCAATTTGCATCATACCAAAGCAATTTTGATACGCTTGGCTTTTTTCAATTTTTAAAAAGAATCATTTCTATGGCAAAAAAGGAGCGGGGGTGGGGCAGGGGGATGTGGCGTTTTCATTAATAAAATGTAAAAACATCGCAGCTTGTTTCTTAAATACTCGTTTCTGTACCATGTTTCACAAAATGCGCTGAATCTTGAAAACTACTTGAGCTTTCTCAGAAAAGTAAAAAGCAATAAAGTTTGCCAGGGTACAAATTCTATATTAGAAACTATTGAGGTGTTTCTCAAGGTACTCAAATGTAACGCCGGTTTACGGCGATGCAGCACAACGGACACGTTTCATAGGAACGATATAGACAAATAGACACGTGTACGGTACTGCTGTAGAAGTAGCAAAGCCGAGTGTTGTAGTGTTTGGCATTTTGCCATGACAACGGCCAAAGTTCTCCAGGAAACGCAAATGGTTTTTTGAGTACAGAGAAGCCGCACTCATAGGCTATACAAGCCACTTAGAGCGAGGAAAACGCAAGACCGGTAGACAGAAAAAACTGCACGGGAAGAAGAAAGAAATAAGGCCCACAAATAAGAGTGCCCACCCTCAAACCTCCACTTGCAGTAACGCTGAAACTAGCGGAGGAGGAGGAGGAGGGGGAGGAGGAGG